ACGCTCGGGTTACGGCGGGGAGGCGGCCGCGGGGGCCGAGCCTGAACGGCCGGCAATCCTACCCCCCGCGGCGGCTCGGCGGAGGCGGCCGTGAATGAAGCCTTTCTGTGTCCACCGGGTGTAGGGTGATCTCTGGCCCCCACGCTGGCCCCCCCCCCAGCCACCCGGAGCTCCCAGGGGGAGTATCCCGCCCAGCACGGGGCCCGGGGACATCCACGCAGGCCCTCGACGAAGGTTCATTTCCTTAGTAACGTCTCCGCCAGTATATTTCGTAAAATTTCAGAGGATAAATTCTTAGGACAGACACGCCGTCGGGTCCGGCGGGAAGCGGCGGGGCCCCGACCTACCTTGTTGTAATACTGCACCTGCACCGAGTGCCACCGCCCGTCACTCACGCCCCCGGGGACCTGCGGCGCCACCGTGGTCGTGGTCTCTCCTGTGGGGCGAGGGAAGAAAACAGGGGTCAGGGGACCGCTGAGGCTAACACTCCTCCCAACAGGCTGGATAAGTGACCTTTTCTAAGGACCAGGAGAGCGTTTCTAATGGCGTATAAACGTCTGTAATCCTCACGTGCACCCCCCCAGTGAGCCCCGGTTTGGGGACCCTGAGCCGAGTCTCCCTTGGTTTCAGTGTTATAAATAACAACGCAGAGGACATCTCCGTGCTTTCCCGATTCCCGCCCAGGAGGGATCCGGACGCGGAACCGGGAGGCGGGGCAGCACCCCCGGAGGCCGGCCGGGGGGAGCGGCCGGGCCCTACCTGCCGAGAAGGTGAGCTGCACCTGCTCGCCCACCACCTCCAGGGCGATGAAGTCGTGCTTCTCGTTGAAGCGGCCGTTGTAGAGCAGCAGGGCGTTGCGCTCCTGGGTGGCGAACCTGCGGGGCCGAGCGGGGGCGTCACACGACGGCCGAGCCCCGAGCGGAGGTCTGCAGGCCGCCCGGACTCCGCGAGCCCGGCCAGGGGAGGGGAGAGCCAGGACCGCGGCGGGGAAGGTGGGTCCAGGGCTCACGTTTCTCCTCATGAGCGGACAGCCCATAAAACCTGCTTACAGTGATGCTCCTGGAAGAGGCAGACCGGCGGCCACAGGGAAATGTGGTCACCGCAGCCCACGTAACGGGAAGAGATCACATTTGTACTGTGTTCTGAGACGGCACGGCCACTGTGCCAGTTAGAGGTGTTTGGGCAAAAAACACACGCAGGGCACCATCTGCCATAGGAAATGGGTCCCACACAAGTGTGCCAGGGCCCCTTGTCTCCACCGCCACACTCCACCCACACTGAGCCCTTCCGCTCCAAACGCGGCACGACGCCTGGCCCCAGGGCCTTTACACCTGCTGCTTCTGCCAGGACGCGCCTGCCTGGCTCTGCCGCTCGCTCAGGGGCCACTGCAACGTGCTTTGCCCAACTCACTTTATCTAAACTGTGCTCCCCACCCCCTCGGTCTATCGCATCACTCAGCGCATTTCTAAAATAATCCTTATTGCCCGGCCGGGCGTGGCTCAGAGGTTGAGCGTCGACCTGGGATCCAGGTGATCAGGGTTCGATTCCCGGTCAGGGCACATGCCCGGGTTGCGGGCTCGATCCCCAGGAGGGGGCCTGCAGGAGGCAGCCGACCGACGTTTCTCTCTCAACATTGACGTTGCTCTCTCTCTCCCTCTCCCTTCCTCTCTCTGAAACCAATTTTATTTATTTATTTATTTACTTTTAAATCTATCTTTATTGATTTCAGAGAGAGGAAAGGAGAGGGAGAGAGAGAGACAGAAACATCAATGATGAGAGAGTCATTGATCGAGCCCACAACCTGGGCATGTGCCCTGACCGGGAATCGAACCCCGATCCCCTGGATCCTAGGTTGACGCTCAACCGCTGAGCCACACCCGGCCGGGCTGAAACCAATTTTAAAAAAAGACTGGGACCAGCTGGATACCGGGCTCGTTTCCCGAGACTCCCGACTCCCCGGGTCCCACCAGTTCTCTCCATGGGTCTCGCAGCCGTAGGTTTCTCTGAGGGGTGGCCCTGCACAGCCCCCTCCGGGCAGCGCTGTCCACGCTGGAGACCAGGGCCCGGGAAGGGACGCTGGGCCCAGGGGAGGGTCTCAGCAGAGCAAGTGAGAGGAAAATAGAGAAACAGAACCCGAGGCTTGGGGAGGGGGCAGGGGCAGGAGAAAACAAAGCCCGGGGCCGGGAGGAGGGGGGAGAGGCAGCTGGGAGCTCGGGGGAGCTGGGAGGGCAGGCGCTTGGCAAACAGAAACTGGAAAGAGGAGAAGCGGCGAGAAAGCAGCGCCCAGAACAAAAGCCGCGGCTGCTGCCCCAGCCCACCTCTCTCACGG